TTGTTATATCCCATGGGGCCTTTCGATTCTGCCATTTGCCTTAGAATTATACGGAGATATCCTAATACCCTTTATCCCGTATTTTTCTTCGAGCCATTTTACAGCAGCAAGGAAAACCGAACCATTGTCAGTTATTATTACTTCTAGACAACCCCATCTGCAGATGACTTCTTCAAAAAGCCATAAGCCGACAGTTCTTGCAGTTTCACTTTTTAGGGGTTTTCCTTCAACCCAGCTTGACAGTGCACACCTCCCATGGACAATGTACTTACATCCATTTGATTTCGGAGTCATGTGTACGGTATCAGCGTGTAGTCGTTGGAAAATAGATGGTGTATGTGTCACGGTGGGTGGGATTTCCACCACACGTTTGGTTCGTTCCTGACAACGCTGGCATGTTTTCACATACCAATGTACGTCTCTTTCGATTTCAGGCCACCAAAAACGCTCCGTTAACATATTCTGCGTTGCATATGCTCCCCTATGTCCCATAGCATCGTGTGCAGATCTCATCATGTACATTCGGTGAGACTTGTCGACCACTAGCTTGTGACGTGATTCAATGCTTCGACGATATAATCTATCCTCTTTGTCTAGGAAGAAACTTTTTGCAAATCTTACGAAAGCGCCATACTTTTTATCAGAATATCCTTCGATCTTTTTAGGATTTTTCAGCCATTCTCTTAGTATAAGAAGGAATTCATCCTGTGACTGTCCAATGAATGACCTATGAGTTTCCAGGTAAGGTTGCTCTGTTTCTAGTTCGTCAAACCTGGCCTCCAGGCCTGGTGAAGTTAAAGTCGAAATCATGTAAGTTCGAAGAAATTCCTTCTGTTCTGGGCTGCTTTTTGTATGATCTGGATCATTGTCCACTCTTGTTTTCACATCTTTAGCTATTTTCTGTGTCATTGCTATTTCCCTGTCTAGTTCATCCTGAAAATCTGAGATGTCTAGAGCCAATTGTTGGATATATCCCCCCCTCGAGTCAATTTGATCTTTGAAGGTTTCGAAATCCAAAGGGGGCTCCCCTCCATCTGGATCTGGTAACACTTCAATGACACCAATGGGTTCGTCGAGATGTTCATCTGAAGGTGGATACACATCGTCACCTGGTTGAGCGTTTCTGCGTGATAATCCATCTGCGCCAAAGGTCTTTCCTTGGACATGCTGTAACTTAAAATGGAACATTAGACATGCGTCAATCCATCTGTTGATGGTTGCATTCGGTCCCATTTCAGGGTTTCGAAGCATACCAGACAGGTATTTCGCGTCTGTTTCCACAATTAGTTTTCGACATCCTAGAAGCCAATATGATGCAGCTTGTAAAGATCGCATTAAACCAAATAATTCTCTTTTTGGTTGAGAAAATCGAGCTTCTCTATCATTCAAAGTTATAGAACCGAACCTGGCATACTGCCTAAGCCCAGTCGTATGGCTATCCTGATATATGTAGAAGGGGATCCTCAGAGTCGACAGCTAGTACCACTGGGTTAGGATTATTTTTCGTATCCAACGGCACGAGCGCTTTACTTTCGCGAAGTGAGGATTCAATTTTGTCCATAGACTTTTCTTGTGCCGGTCCCCATACAAACGGAGCTCCCTTTTTGCATAAATCGTTGAGAGGTTCTGCTTTCTTTGCAAAATTCTCAATAAACATTCTGCAGACCCCTACAGTTCCTAGAAAAGCCCTGACATCATGTAGGTCTTTACAAGGTCCCCAAAGATCTATAACTTTCATTCTTTCAGTTTCCGGTTTTCTGCCTTCATAAGTGCATAGGTGGCCTACTACTGTTATTTCAGCCGCACAAATTACCGACTTAAATCCCGAAAAGGTTCCTCCAGCATATTTCATCCTATGAACTACCCTGTTAGCATTTTCGAAGTGTTCCATTATGAACCTTCTTATACCGCTATTTTCAGGTATAGTCTCATATTTTCCATCTGGCAACTCATACCTTGTTGCAGGCCCTCTGACAGGCACATCATCAATATATGGTACAGTTACTTCAGGAATTTCTTCTTGTAAAATATACGTAACATCATCATGGAAAATTGGAACGGAATTTGTCCAACCCATGGGTAGAGTGACAAGCCTTAAAGCTCCAAAAGGTGTTTGAAATGTAGTCAGATCCCTGGAAGTTTCTGCCAAGAGCCTTTCATCATATCCTACGTATAAATCAAACATTCCTCCACAAGCACGACCAGCGAAATGCGTAGCAAGTGCATCGGTTGCCGGTGGTAACCCTGAATGCGCCATAGTCACTGCATTTAAAGGTTCCAGGCTATGTACAAGCCTCAAACTTTTTCCATCTTTCTTTAATACACAAAACCATCTTGACCTATAAGAAGAATTTGAGGGTTCATATACCCCAGCATCCAATTTGGTCTTAATAATTCTGCACACTTCTTGATAAAGTCCAGGAGGTATTGGAATATTTTTCAAAACCCACGGCGTATGTGGAATTATTGGAATGTCTACGGGTGGGAAGTATTCTGTTTTGAAGCTCCCCCTCTCACTATCATCCCAAGCAAAGGCTTCGTTGTTTTCCATCATAAAATGATGTAGTAGTTTGTGCTCCTCTGGCCACAAGAAATCGCCGTCATGAACTTTGTCAAATTGCTCTCTTCGCTCTTCAGTATAGCGTCCCGTGGGTGTGAATTTTGGTGGGTTTCTATTCAGCTTTGGCAAGGTGTCCATTGGATCGCCTTTTATATCCCGAATAATTCGAAATTTATCTGGTAGGTCCTGAAAGACGGGTCGGATTTTCTGTGCGACTGGTTTATACTTTTTAGTTACCAGTACCTCCCTTGTCGCAGGATGTTCACCCTCCACTTCACTCGGTTGCGCTTTACCGTCATGGTTATATATCGTATTCATCATGGTTTCCACTGTAGACGCGGTGCCCGATTCTTGACTTTGCTTAGAATAATATTTTTCTAAGTAGTTTACCAGAACCGTACTAGCCGCCTTGTCTGTCATCTTTTCTTTTTCATGTTTTAAGTATTTTGTAAGATACAAATTCCTAGTCTCTTCTTCAGAGAATTGATCGTCCATTGGTAAGGCGTACGATAGGACTTTATATCCTCCCGCACCGTCTTCTTCAAAAGCTATCGCAACTTCTCCTTGATCTTTTTCAATCAAATCATCGAGGGTTGAAAAACTTTCTCAGTTTTCGGTTGAAGATCCTCTTCAT